TAAGTTTAATATACTTGTACATGCCCTAGGTGAATGCGACATTTCTCTCAAATTTAATTTAAAAACTTGCCTTGGGCCAATGATAGTCTCTGTATCAAGGAGGAAGTTGATTTAGAAACTGAGGCCAGGATACATGTAGTATTTTTGGGACAATGTACACTGTGTTCTGATTTTAAATGAATACTAGAAATGTTTAGAAGAGGTTTAGTTCATTGATATCTTTACACTAATTCAAGTTATTATGTTTATAATTATCTGTGATTTTGTTTATGAATATTGAGAATGTAAGAATGATGCAAGTTTCAAAGAAATCCTCAACTTTTACAATAACCAATTTGTAAAGTATCAGTTGTTTAAGTTTTTGCATTGCTAAGTTTTTCTGTAACTTTGTCATTTTGGAACTGATAATATTGTATTATAAAAGTAAGCTTACTGTATGTTTTAAAATTTACCTGTGTTAATTTACATCATATGAAAAGCAACTAACATTTTCATTCAAAGCAGTCTCTTAAAACAAATAGTTATCCCTTTAATGAATTTGTAACTTCTACAAATTACAAGTAACTTCATGTTATACAAATTGCATCCTAAATTCTTGTTACAGATATCACAACTCAGTACATGAAGACATCACAACTGACTTTGTTATAGGCATGACATCTTACTTTACTTATTCTGCTGAAGTATTTTCATGAGTCATAAACAATAATAAATTAATTATATCACCTTTTCAGAAGCAAGTTTGCCAAGAATTATATGCAACATTGAAAACATTACACCTTGCCTCTTTGCTGTTACATCAGAATAAATGATTAAGTACTAGTCATTATAACAATAAACAAATCGATAATAAATTGTTTGACTTGACACAAACTTTATCAGTTTGTCCAAATACAATAAAATATTCCATTTAATAACATAAATAGCAAATTCTTAGAATTTTTATATTGTCAGAAGTATATTTCACCTGTTTCATGGTAAGAAGGTTTGAATAAAAATCTTAAGTCTTGACAAATGTTGTCAAAGTTCAGTGAAATCATGCTTTTAGCACAGACAAAAAAAATCTTTAGTCTACTCTGAGTCTCAATCATAATTTTCTTTCTAAGATATAAACATGAAATACATAAGACTATAAAAAATACCATATTTTTGTCCTCCTCATCCAATGCAGACTGATTCATATAGAATATTTTTTTTATTATTATTTAAACAAAGTGAAGTGTCACAGAAAATCACAGCAAATAGTTCCATTACTTAATCCTTATACATGAAATCCATCACACAAGGTTGAATTTTTACATTTCTCAAATTATAAGTGAAGTACTTTTTGGCAACTTGAGTATACCCCCTTGAATTTTGGTTATAAAGATGAAAGTTCTAGTTGATTGAATCAGCATTTGTACCTCTTTATACTTCTCTGACACTTGTACAATAAAGACTTGTTATTGATCTTCCAGGACAGAACTACATTATAACAACTGGTACACTTAGCTGAAGCTTTTTCTCGTATATGTACCTTTTCACAGAATCCTTAAAAGGTGCACTTAGATGTTCATTGAAGAAAACTAGGTTGATCAATTCAGCATTGTGTATATCAGAGCCAAGAACTTGTTGTATCTGGGACACCTCAAACTATGCTATTATCCGATGTTCTAAAGTTGTATGCTCTCCATTGGTAGATATTGATTGGCAGTTTGACGGTTAATATGGTCCTTGTAGCCTGAAAGAAAGTCAACAAGTTACTTTACATTATCTTTAATTTCTTGCCAGGCTGAGCTGCTTTTAATAATGGGTTTCAGAAGTAAACTCCACAAAGCTTGACCATAGCACTAAATGTGCAGCAGAGAAAGGTTGACACTTCCTCTTTTCTTCTTCTTCTTTTTTTTTTTCTTCTTCTTTCTTGTACTTGTCAAATATGGGTGAAGTTTGCAGGATGTTGTCATCTTCCTAGTGATATACAATAGGACATTGGTAAGGACATTAGAATATTGTGAAAATGACCACTTTATAATTCAGTGTTGAATTTATATATTTCAGATATTTCTATCAGAAATTTGTCAAGTTTGTCTGATTTTGCCTTCAAAAAAAAAAGCTATCATCAAGATACACAAATAATTTTACTTGAGCTATCATCAGTAATCCAACTTATTTAAATGGATTCAGGCAATACTGACATATCTCTGTATGTGTATTATTAATTTTCTTTGCTTATGCTTCAAAACAGATTTAAGAAACTAAATATAAATATTCATATTTTTCCTATAGAATAAACTTAATTTGAGAGATGAATGAAACCAGCCCAAAGCAACAAAGATTACAGAAGAAATATCAGTTGGTATATCAAACACACTTTCAGGAAAACATCATGCTAAGAAGAGCTTCTAACACTTGGTGCACCTTTGACAATTACAGTATGCTACATTGTCCTTAGTTTACTTCAAGATAAATGAGGTCACACATACACTCACATCTTCAAAGGATGGCACTTTTATCTTGACATGTTTATGACTGACAATTAAACATTATACCTTACCAATAAAAAAAAAGTGCTAATGAAAAAAACGTTTCAGTATTTCAGGAATGTTTCTTGTCACTAGTGTGTTAAAGAATCAATATTACTCTGACTCTTTGAGCTACAAAAGTTTTATAGTCTGTTTTTCACATCTTCACATTTAGCATCTAAGTGATGCTTAATATATAAATGGAAAGAAACTGATCGTGACATTCTGATTAATTGTAATATTAACATAGTTGTTCAGTGACATGTTGTTATTTTAGCAAGTTGAAAATTTCTATTTCTAAATAACTGTTGTAATATTTAAAAATAACATGACTACTAGCAGTATATTTGTGAAAACATTTTTCTTCACCAAAATGTGTAATTTCACTGAAAAGAATCTGTGAATGGCATAGAGACCTAATCTGTTCTTTGTTTTGCTACTTCTTCTGCAGTAACTATAATTTTGCTGAATCATAGCTCCTCATTACTGCTTGGAAGAGTAAACCAAAGAAATACTCTTATAGTGGTGGAATGAAAACAACTTGTAAGTTGTGATGTAAATTTTTTCTTAAGAGCAAAGGACTTTACATTAAGACCTACAAAATGATTATTTGCAGTTATCTAACATTAACTTTTTGTATTCTATGAAGTTTTTTTTAAATTAATGCTTTTGTTATAATCCAGTTAACTAGTCTTTCCCAAGCCCCTACTGATGTCATTTTTGAAGCTAATATTTTGTGTGGCACTTTATCACTAAGCATTTTGAAAATCTTAGTACTCCAAGTCCACACCCTTTCCTTCATCCACATAACAAGTAACCTTTAAAATATATATGTATATATTATTAAGGCAAGATGTCCCGTATTGGCTTTCATTTTTGAAACCATATTTCATTAATGATTTTATAAATCTTCTTTTATCAGCTAGAATTCTTCCCACTATAGAACTAACATTAACTAGATTATAATTTCCAGGGCAACTCTCATTCCCACTTTCAAAGATAGGACTGACATGAGCAATTTTCCAGTTGTCAAGTGCCTGTCTACTCTGTTTACCAACCAAAAACAGAGAGAAAGATTAATGTGTATTTTTTTTTTCCTGTATGAAAATTATTTTATTAATTCTTTTGTTGTATTGGATAAATCATCATACACTATAGTGCTGTTATCATTACTGTTTATAATTGTTGACTGAACATTCGGTCTTGCAATTAACTCTGATAACCCACATTACTGTTTATCCTATTGCTCACTGACTGGCTAAGTTTTGAGATACTTTTACTGTAATGCATATATATTTGGCTGAGAAAAGTTTCCAAACACAGATTTTCTTCTTTTGAACCATTAAAGTTGATTATTGTAACATTCTTAGTAAATTAAAAAGGTGTTTATTCTTCATTTATTGTCAGTTAAAGAATGGCACCAATTGTACTTTAAAGCATACTAGTAGAGACCAACAAAACATTTGTGGCCAAATTAGCATATCTGTTGTAACAGTAATTGATTAATTGCAGGATTCTGAAATAATATAAAAGGATTCTAATTGCAGACATCGAAATCTGTTAAGTTCACTTATCTTAGGCCTAACATTGTTAAGTCTTTATTAAGTACATCCTACTCTCAGTAAAGAGATAAATTAACATTGTAACTTGTATGAATTTTTTCTGCTTTAGTTTAGTTAGGGCTAAACTTTATTGTACTTAATACTGTCAGTAAATAAACGTATAACATTTTTCTTTGACCTAACATTAGACCCTTTTAAAAACTTTGGTAAGCCTTAAGTATGTTGTTGTACAAAATGTCTACTAAAGATACTTACATTCACCTTTTGTTTACATCTGTTGAAATGAAGTGTGTATGCATGCACATTTAGATAGTAATGTACACCCACATTTTCAGAACAGACAAAAACTGTCTAGTGTTATAATAGATCTGATTTCAATGGATGCTCTGCTATCAGCTCATTGAAATAGCTTGGCAAAGCTTAACCTGTAAACCTGGAAAGGTATGCTGGATAAAAATTAGTGATATAATATAGGGACACATTTTATGTAATATAATCTATGTCATTAAAAAATAATTTTGGTTTAGTTTTCCAAGTAATACAGATTTCTTGTTGAGGAAAAATTTTGTAATGATAGTATTTTTGAAATGTTAACCTTGAGTTTAGTGATTTAGATCAGTTTTATGTTAGAGAAAGTACCTCTGGTATATATGTGTGTTTACAAGAATTAGAAGTCATAATATGTCACTATTTTTTTTATCAGACACATAGAAGGTTATGATTGTAACTTAGTTGTAACTTTGAGTTTTGTTAACCAAAAAAAACTTCATTTAGTACTTAAATGTTTGGATTATTTCCATGAAAGTGTATCTGAAGTGTTTTAGAAAGGGTAGTGTAAACGTTTTGGCTAGATTAAACATTCCATGGCAGCTAATATAATTCAGGTACTCAATCAAGCACTTGTATCTTAATTCATTTCAACATTCTGCCCTTTCAGAAAACAACAATTTACCAGATGTTTGAACACTTGTTATACACTACAAGTGAGAGCAGTAGGAACTGAATTACAAAGTACAGGGGTTTGTATCTGATTAAGTCTCAACTGTTGTCAAGAAATGGAAAGAGCAAGCAAAGCCATTCGCAGGTAAAACAGAACATTTTACTCATTTTTCTATTTTAAGTTAACTGTGCTCAAATAATTTCAAAAATAAAACAACTATTAAAATACTGTATTGTAATAGTTTAGTGGATGGTAGCAGTTACCATGCATATGTTCCATGTTGATGGAAAAAATATCTACATTTTGTTTTCTTACATTCACTTATTACAGATGTTTAAAGCAATCCCTTCATTTTAAACTGTAAATGTACAGTACATTTTCTTCATATACAATTATTCAGTATTTTTAACACAGTATTATCCTTATAGTAATTTTAGAAGAGACAGAAACAAATATAGCTCCTAAATAGAAATTGTATACTTAATGCTTTTTTATAAAATTTGTGATTTTTAAAAGTGTAACATTACGTCACTTCAAATAAAAATCACTAATTACACCTCAATTTATATAGGTCACACCATAGCAATTTTTGTTCTGAATTGTAAATGACTTAAAGAAAAATTGATAATAGTTACACTTAATATAGTGCATACAATTGATGATATAAATAGTGACTCGGCCACCACTATATATTTTGTATTGCAGCCAGCCTTGTCAGCACTGGATGTGGTAGATATAGTGTGGTTGACATAGTAGTAAATATTCTTATTTGTCTTCTCTCATAAGTTTACAGAATTACCAAATGTATCAAAAATAAATGCTTTTTCACAAATGAATATTGGATTTTTGTGTAATAATAAAGAAAATAGGGCTTAGAAATATACATTTAGATTGTATTCACGTAATAACATTGCGTGGTGAAGGTTTGACCTATTATCATTCAGTTAAAAAAAAATGTTACTAAATTTAGGAACCCAACAAGGTTTCGTGATTGTTTCTGCTAAAGTCATCTTTTGTTATATTCATGTATATATAATGGTCATAAAACAATTTTTGAACATAATGTTGTAAGTCTTTATTAACTTTATCTTAGTTAAATGAAAAATGTATGTGTGAGTTTAAGTTTAAATGTATTTTACATGATTACAACACTTAGTGGGTCTGACATGACCCGATTGTTAGGGCACACGACTCACAATCTAAGGGTTGAGAGTTCAGATCCTTATCACTAAACATGCTCGTCCTATATTGTTACTGACTAGACACCCATGTTGGTGTAAAAATTATTGGCTTACAAAAATACTGGTTGACCCCAAACTAGATGGGGGGGGGGGGAAGAAAAACATCACCTAGTGAAACGTTATAGAATTGGAGTATTACTTAGTTCAGTTAGTCAGGTGACCAAACACAATAATCAAAACAAGTAATATGAACAAATTTAACTTGAATGAATACTGCATGTTTTTCAATAACCAAATGAGAGAATGTGGTAAGAATCTGTAAATTATTATAATTTCAAATAATAGAATGTTTTAAATTTTTACCTATAAATGATTCTAAAAATTTTTTCCTTCTTCAGGAGTGGTGTTCGGTTGAAGTCATTAGGTGGTGGGCATTCAGAACTTAATATGGTTATATCTGAAATGAAAGATGTACGACAAGCTGCCAAAGTCTTCATGACTGCTCAGAATTCAGGTTTGTAAAGTTTATGGAAGTGAGGTCTTGTAGAAATGCTTCCAACAATGTATTATTTTATATGACTTGTTATTAATTTGTTTGATACTAGTGTATTTGTTTATGCAAGAAAGCCTTCTGTGATTCTGCCAGTTATGGCACATATTAACCAAATGCTTTTGTTTATAGAGTATATAGTACTCTTTCTGGGGGCTTGGTTCACTTGGAGTAATAGTTATTTTGTACTTTATTTCATTAGCTGCTCAGGACTTGACATCATGGGCTGCTGGAAATGAAAACAGAGCTATTCAAGTAAGTTTAGTTAACTCTTTTGCTATGAGGTTGATCGAACTGATTAACCACGTAACCACTTTGTACTCATTATAGTTTCCATACTATAACTTTTAATATAGTGTGAGTATCTTCTTAAAATTTGATAGATGTTTAGTAAACATTACAAGTCTTTTGTAAACAATAAATTAGATTTATTGAAGTATTTGTCTAAAGATTTGTCTGGGAATATATATACTTTTTTTTTACTATTCCAAGTGCAAGATGATCTCCACTTTAAAATTTAAAATAATTTTCTTTGTCTCAAAAATCTCAGATTTCATTTGTGTAGTCTCCAGAACCTTTTAAATTAATTTCAAACATTTTTTCTACAGTAGAACCTGATATTTTATCTGTTATTTTCTCTACCATAAGTCTATACAAGGTTAGTCAATTTGACCAACCTCGTAACCACCAAAAAAAGAAATCTAAATTACCCTATTTTTCTTTCTAGAATAACTTCAAATTGTAACATGAAACTACATTTGTTTATCCTAAATAGCTTTAAACTCATAACAGTATAAATTTATTTATGCTTAAATTTTATTGTTTTATTGCTCTTTGAACCATCTAACTACTATTTGTGCCATTGTAAGTTATAAATCACTTGTCGAATGTACAAATCATGTTACACTGTTGAATTACATTATGCACAAGCTGTTCACAAGTGTATCTCATGAAATTTTTATTATATTATTATTATTTATTTTACCTAATCTAACCTTAACTAGCTTAAAAAGTTTCCTATTTTTGCATTTTAGTTACTTTTATAATAATAAATAAAGAATACAGATGAAAGTACTTATCTGGGCCTTCTCTTTTTTTTTTATGCTGTTGACAACACTTAATCCTACATTTTTATACTAATGGTAGTGCTGAACTAAATTTTTTATTTAATTAGATAATGCACCAAAGAACACAGAATAATAACATGTAAGAAGCAGACAATGCCTCATAACTATCACAATTTTTCTGCTTTCTAACTATGCAACCAGAGCTGTTATAAATTCATCTAAGCTAGTTGCTGTGTTTCCCATGGGAATAAAGTATGAACTGAAAGCAAAATTGATAATTTTGTGTACAGAAAACAATGTAATATAATACGTCATTTGATAGATGAAAACCTTGACATTTAATTGGTTATAAATTATATAGTATTGAACATCGGAGGAAACTATTGACAATTTCTGAAAGAGTGGATGTGACAGGTGGGTGTGGCAAGATGGGTCTGATTTTTATATTTGATGCTCTTTAACCATATAAGATTGAAAGCTATAGAAATGATGCTTTGCCTGAGCTATTACAACATTATAATGCGTAATTTACATTAAATTTCATATTCCTTGGAGGAGTGGTAAATAATTTAGATAAGAGGGGATGCCTAGAAACTTGTATACTATTAAAATATGGATTATTATCTATGCTATAGTTATTGATATACTATGAAAAGAAAGTAGTTTAATTAAATTTTAATGTAACTCACTAAAACCTCACATGTGCAGAAAAAAGATGCCCATAGAGGTTTAACAACCAATGAATTTACGGAGTTTTCAAATGGATCCACATTTTCTAATGTGAAATGGAACTATAAACAATTGTAAAGAAAGATAAATGCTATTAACCACACTAATAATGCATCATTTCTAGTTCTGAACTATTAATGTATTGTTAAATATTCTCCAGTTAAATCCATTAACTCATTCCATTGCATAGTTAGAAAGCCAAAAAAAATTGATAGTTATAGGATGTTGTCTGTTTTTTATGTTTTATTATTCTGTGTCCTTTGGTGCATTATTTAATTAAATAGAAAATTTATTGCTGTAATACCATTAGCATAAAAAAAATAGGGTTAATTTTCATCAACAGTCAACAGCAAAAAAAAAGGCCCAAGTAAGTACTGTATTTCTTGGTTTTCATGTGTATTCTTCATTTATTATTATAAAAGTAAATAAAATGTAAAAATTAGGAACATTTTAAGTTAGATTAGTTAAAATAAAGAAAATATAATAATAATCCAAAAATTTTAAGGGCTATGCTCACGAGCAACTTGCGAGTATCCCGTGCATTATGTAATTCGATGGGGTATTGTGAGCTACACATTTTCCAAGTGATTTACAACTTTTGTGGTAGGGTTATTAGTTCAAATGGCAATACAACAATAATATTTAAGTATAAATAGATATAAACTGTAATGAGTTTAAAGCTATTCAGGATAAACAAATGTAGTGTTGTGTTACAATTTGAAGTCATTCTAGAAAGAAAAAAATGGTAATTTATTTCATATTTTTTATGGTGGGTACGAGGTCAGTCAAATTGACCAACCTCAAAGAAGTTAGGGAAGAGAAAATAGCAGATAAAGTATAAAGTTTTACTGAAAAAGAATGTTTGAAATTTATTTAGGAAGTTTTAGTGATTACATAAATGAAATTTGACAATTTTCAGATAAAGAAAATCATTTTTAATCTCAATGTGAAAATCACTTTGCACCTGGAGCAGTCAACACTGACTCCATATATACACAGCGAAATTTTTAATGAAAATACTTCATTAAAAATGTAATTTTTTTTTTTTGTCTACAAAAGACTTAATGCTTACTGAAAGCTTGTACAATTTTGTGAAGATGTACTAAACATACTAGAAGTTGCAGTATGGAAACTATAAAGTTCAGTTTGGGGTCACAAACCTAGCTCGGTTTGAATGTTATTGATATCATTATCAATACCTATTAAGAGATTTTATTTCAGCCCTCAAATCCCATTAGATGAAAATGTAGGCCTACTGATTTCATTTTGCATGTAATGAATAAATACATTTTGTTTATTGTGTTAGAAGGCTATTTTTTTAAAATCCACCATTATAAATGTAAGATGAAGTCAAAAGGTAGTTTAATCTGTAGTATAACACTGATCTTTCAACTTTTAGGACATAATGAGCCAGCTGGCTGAGCTCAACACTCTGTGGACAGATGTTCAGAAAGAATTTGCAGGTTAGTTCAGCATTCTTGTAAATGCAGAGTAAAATATTATTTTATGCATTAATTTTATAATATCATTAGATAGTTATTATTGTATTTTAATTTTCTATAGCTTTTAATTTCTTTAATTTAACTCTGAGAAGGAAACATATCTTTTGTTTTCGATAGTGTAAAAAGTTTTGGTTTTTACTGTTAAAGTACTATCAGTTTTTATCCAATTATGCTTATATTTATGCATATATATATATTATATATCTTACCTGCCTCATTTGTATTGGAAATTTTAGAAGTGAAGGTTTTTCATTATATTGATTTAATATAATCCTGTTTAATAGAATTTAATAACATTTAATAAAGATGTTTACACTAATATCTTTTGACATATGTGTTAAAGCTAATATACATATAGCTCTCATTGTATTATCTTTTTTAGAGCATCTGAAAAACTTTAAGCACCAATTTGAAATGATATTAGAAGGAGAGAAACAAGTTGATCATGCACGCACCCACCTTGTAAGTTCAGTTTATTTTGATATTTGTTAATGTCTGTTAATCTTAACTCGTTTTATAAAACTATTAAAGTAAAAATGCAAATCTCCCAAATGCTAGTGAAATACTTAAAATGTTTTAGTGACTTGTATTACAGATTTAATTCAGAACTTTCTATGAACTACATTTTGAAATATAATAAAAAAATCATTAAACTTGATCAGAGTTTAAGCAAAGAAATTAACCCTACAACTCTAGATTGCAGACTAAAATTTTCAAAAGAAAAATTTATTTACAATAAAAGTTGTGTGGGAGAGACAAAATTTCAATATTGCTGGGCATTTCAGGTGATGAAGTGTACTTTTTATTTTAATAGTGGATTATGTAAAGCTAATAGCCTTGAATAAAACACAAAATAATGCAGTTGTAAAACCTAATCCAAATGGATATGTTGGAAAAGCATTAAATTCAGAAATAAGTCAGAAATATCTGTAGTTATAAGCTCTAAGAGAAATGTGTGTGTTTAGCTAAGACCATTAGTGAAGATCTTTTGAAAATGTAATTCTGAACTTTTAATTAGTTTTGTAAATAAATTATTTTTCTAAAACTTGAAATAGTTGATAATTTTGTTGTAAATCAGGTTTGAAGTGTTTGTAGTACATGGTATCAATTTTAGTTTATTAGTATACATGTTTATATTTGTAGCATTATATTTTATCATAGTGAAGATAGTTTGGGAGTAAATAATAGTAAATGAGTTACAATTAGAACAGTACTAATAACATTTATTTTTATAGGCTCAGTGTGAACAACGAGAATTAAAAATCAGAAAAGAATTGAAGAAAGCTGCAAAAGTTGGTTGTATTTTATTTTACATGATTTTTGAAAATTTTTATAGCTATTTTGTAACCAAGTTAAATTATTGTAATGGTGTTACACTTTAAATATGTATTTTCTAATTTAATTAAAATACATTTTAAGTTTTATCTTTCACATTTTAGCTTCTAATGTATGAATTTTGAGTCAGTATATTAGATGTAATGTGCAAGATCATTATTGCTTACTAGCATAAAATACCCATGCTCTGGTTTGGGGTTCAAAGACCCCTTCGTGATTCGTTATTAACTAAGCTCCTCCATTATTCCCAATTACTTCTATAACTATCCAAAAGGGGTTCTATGTGCACCCAAAAACAAACTCTGTTGGTACACCTGCCTATTGCATCTGAGTACATGTGCAATGTTTGGTCCTGGCAACCCATGAGTGTGGGGATAATAATACAATACCAGATTTGGGTTCAGCAACTGTGATAAACTACTCCTAGACCCCATCATGACCAATTCCACTTACCAAATTAATTCCTGCTTCCTCCAAAGCTGTGGAAGGAGTTCATGGATGAAAAGATTCACAAACACACAGCATGAATTCTTGACTACAATAATTTTAATCCAAGTGTCATAATATAATAAGAAACTACATTCAAAGGTTCTTTGAAATATAACCTATAATAATCAGTTAATATTATTAGTTACATAATTCAAAAGAATTGGATGATTTTCAAATGCCAACTTGTGACTCTTGATAAAATTCAAATTAAAGTTCAAACTGATTTCTTGTACTCTTCAGTGTTAAGCTGAACTAATATACAAGATGGTTAGTGAAGGAGTCTAAGCTTAATAGATCCAGAATCATAAGCATATAACATCAAGATAATCTGTCACTGAGTTAATTTATTCTAATCTCCACTTACCTCATTATGAAAAATGATGCACTAATTAAAAACATTATGATTGAAGAAGTTGAATAATTTCCTGATCCTTGAACACAGTTTCTCTCCCTTAACCAGAGGCAAAGTAGTGTTTTTGGGTGGTAGAGAAAGGAACAAAAAATTCTAGTAATTGTTTCTTGGAGGTGTTGCATACATTGTGAATCTGCTGTATCTAAATATGCAATCTATTTGTTAGTAACATATTTCAGTTGGAAGTTATAAACAGTAGAGAGGTTTTGGAGTAGCCACACCACCTTACCAACAATGGTCACACACATGAATTCATAATTTCCCTTTTTCTATTCTCAACTCAAAGTGTGCAACCTTTCTTCATTGTCTGTTTGGGTTGGAGATCTTTATCTTAATCTTCTGAACTGAAAGAAGGCTACTAGTGCTACTTTCTTTACTGCCCTGTTAGCATCAAACATATTTTTGAATGCTGTCACAGCATCTTTAGGCCTAATAGATGTACTTGCTTCAACAAGGGCTGTCAAAAAGTCCTTCATGATTGTATCAACTGCAGCTGCACAGGTTGCAAGTCAAACATCTCAAAACCTTGCACATGAAGGTAATTGAGGGAATAATGTGATTAATGATGACATGCCAAAGAGTAACAAAGAGTCGTAGACAGTGGGACTTGGAGCTATCTGTTGGGCCATAGTCTGAAAAACTGGATACAATAATGGTGAAGAAGAAGGCTCATGTAGTGGACCCATCAGTTACACAACAGAATGCAATGTCATTAAGTATGGGGGTTTCTGCTGATGATATGGCCAGTCATGACATTCATGATGTCAGAAAAATATGTAGGTTCAAGAAATCAATTTAACACAAAGAAATGATACCCGAGTAATTTCAAAGGTGGACCTTTCTTCGGAGGCAAACTGAAAAAGAAAGGTTCTTCTTTTGAAAGTGCTCCGATTCTGGGTATCGTATCTTTCAGTCAAATTTTGTCAGATTTGGATTCTGTAAATTATATTTCATAATTTGCTACATCCAAAATGAGTTTCACCAACAAGAAATAAATCTTATTCTTTTATCTGACCCCCTGCTACCAAGGTGCTTCTGGTTGGGGAAGAGATCCTGTGTTATGAATATTCTATAAAAAAAAACTACTCAGGATTATTATGCATAAAATTGGCATATAAGGAAATAACCTGCATTGTTATTTTTAAGTAGATACTTGTATTACCAGAACCTAAACTGTTAGCATACAAGAAAACTTGTTTGGAGTGTATATTTTAATTGAAATTTGCTGTATTTTGCTCTTTGTTTTTGTATAGTTGCTGAAGTATTTTTGTATTCAGAAACTCAATACTGTTTTTGTATTGTAGAAAGCCACAGTTGAAGAAATCAATAACCTGGAAATCAAGCTGTCTCAAGCTGAACGAGCAAAGGATTTGGCTCAGTTAGAAGGTAACAATTATTGCTTTAGTGCCTCTTGGTACTTTTACCAATTTCTTATATATATACATTCTTTTGTTACTTCTATTTTTGTATTTGTAATTTTTGAGTATAAAAACTTTGCTGATGTGGATCCATGGTTCAACCATGCTTCATTGCCACAAAATAGTACCCCACTCTTTGAGGCTGTGGGTGCATTATAAGAGTGATGGCCAAATCTTGCTGTTTTATTAGATTAGCTGAAGAATTGGTGGTGGGTGCTGTTGACTAGTTGCCTCTCTTTATAGTCCATTGATTGAAATTTAAGGATAACTGGTGACGACATTTGTGTTTAGCTTTGCAACAATATCTGAAGCATGCATTACTGAAGTGGATGTGTTATGATTATGGGAAATAATAAAACATTTTATAGTTCACCATGTATGATGCTTAATGAACCATTACTAGAGTTTAGTACCTATAATCCTGAGTTGCAATATATATATATATATGTATGATAGAGCATATATCTGACCTACTGTAGTGTTTCTTACTATTTTTTCACTGCTCTGTTGCAGTTATTTTCATTTTATATTTGTCTGAACCTGAATATTCTCAAGAGATGTAATAGATCTGTAGTTTAATACTGACAGTCACCAGGATGAAAGAAAGGTAGCACAAAACGAAGCAGATATAATTGAAAAACTAACATTTTTGTGATTTGAGTTAATCTTTTAAAAGTTATTCTTAATTAATGCTATCTGTGACTTGTATACTATAGGGAATAGATACTAAAATTTTCAGTTTGCTGGAATATATTTGTTTTTTACAGTAGTGGAACGAGTTCATGAAAATGAGGCTGTGAAATTGATAAGGTTGAAAGAAGGACTTATCAAAGTTTCTGATGCATATGTAGAGATGGCCAACAAGTGCGCCATCATATTTAGTGCACAGAAGGTGAGGGAGCTGTTCTACATCTCAAGAACTTTTTATCATAAAAAATGAATTTATTCTTAAGTAAATTAGACAGTGAACTACAATAATTAGTTGTGATATTATAATTTATCAAGTTAAACACATTTACGTACCAGAGTTTATGTTTATGCAAAGTTCTACATTATATATGCAGGAAATTTTAATACAACTAAAAATAATAGCATCACTACATTTTTAAAATGCAGAAATAACAAGAGCTACTAGTTCAAATTAACAAGTGTTTTTATTTGTAATAAATCATAAAATGTTCCACTGCTCCAAGCATCCTTGACAAGAAAAGAAAACCTGTATGCATATATCTGTAAGCCATACGTGTTTAGTAACAAGGAAAAAATAGAGATTATTCAATCTTTTGTTAGTTCATGTCTTCCAGTTGAGAATTTAACTAGTATTGTAACGACAGTAAAACTAATGTTATCTGATTAGACTCTGAGTTTTCTTATTACTTGAGCTTTTCTTTTGTGTAAAAAAAAATATACTGAATATTTGGTTAGTGTTACACAGCTAACTTTTAAAAAGTTAATGCTTATCATACCATCACTGTAAAACATTACAGCAGGTAGCAAAGAGATGTTAAACAGCATTGTTAATGCAATAACACTGTACAGGGTGGTCTAAGATTATCTTTCATATTTTAGATTGTAATAGTTAAATAACTAAAGAAATACAATCATGCTGTTTCAACATCTTGTAGCCCAACTCAAATAGTTTTTATTGTCATGTGGTTTTCACTCCAGTGAGTAGCGTTATCCCGTAAAATGGCAACTGTGCAAAAAAGGCTCAAATCAATGGATTTGTCAGGGTGAGCAAATTCTGTGTCCTTTGCATTCACCAGACATCACTCCACTAGACTTCCTTCTTTGTGGGTATGTTAAGGAGATTGTGTATCCCACAACTACAGCAAACATCATGGAGCTAAAGACCAGGATAACGTATGCCATTGCCACTGTAACTGTGGACATGTTGCAGCGAACATAAACTGAAATCAAATATCGGTGCTTAGAGCCACTAATGGTGGACACGTAAAAGTCTACCTACATATCAATAAAAATTGTTTGAGTTGAGCTACAAGATGTTTAAATATGCAAAGTTGTATTTTGTTAGCTATTTAACTATGAAATTTTAAAATAGAAGGGTTGACTCACAATCTGTATGTCATGGGAACAAAACCAGTCACAGAACATACTCACCCTTTCAGTCGTAAATACATTATAACATGACAGTCTTCCCACTAGTTGTTGGTAAATAGTAGCTCCAGAGTTGGTGGTGTGCACTTCTAGCCTGTTGTCTTCCCAGTTTAAAATTAGAGACAGTAGAAGATAGCCTTAGTAGCTTTGCCATGAACAAACTTTCTAGTTTTCTTTCATTCTTTGATATTATTTTAATTTTTATTGTTCATGATTTCATGTTTAAGCTACTTGAAGAATACCCAAATTACTAGGTTTTCAATTGGCTTAGTACAGGTTTGCATAATAAATAAAATGGCTTATGGTTATTTGTTTTTCTTGTTTGGTTACAAAGCATTTATGTAATCACATTTTTATAGATACAACACTTTAGGCTCCAACATTGTCATAAACACACTTATTAACGTGTAAAACAATACTAAATTGTCTGAAATAAAACAACTGTGAAAGTGTACGCAGTATTATTGCAACAGATGAGTGATAAGTGAATAAATTTTTCATTGTTTCTAAACATTCAACATTAAATGAACTTTAACATATAGCTTTAGAGAAATCTAGAATTACATGTGCCACTGTGTATGTATTTGAATTTTTCAGGTATTTGGCAGTGAGGCTGTATGTAATGCATTACTGTGTGTGTACTTTTGCACGTTAACTTAGTTATTTTGAAATAATGTTACATTAGAAACTATTTTTGTGCAACATGTAAAAAAAAAAATAGTAGATATTGCAGTTGAAAACTCCACTGTTAGAAGACACGTGTTGCTTGTGCTATTTCTCCATACATAATACTTGTTTATTCAAAAGGACAGAAATGTGAAATGTTGAGACTTTTTTATTGCTCTGAAAATGTTTTAGTTTTAATACCTGGAGAGAATTTATGGATAATTTACAATTTGTTTGCTCTTTATGTTAAACCATGAAATTTAGTTGTTTTTTAATAGTTTAATTAAAATCCTCAGTAATATTTACTATTCAAGAATGTAAATATAGTGGAGAGAAATAAGAATTTATCTAAACCAAACTAAATATTGCTTTAGGAGATATCCCATTATGTCCCAGACGTTCATGGTAGAGACTTGCATGAGGTCAAATATACTGGTAAGTCATTGCTGAAATAGAAGTCTAGTAATTGTTTTTGAGTGTATAACCTTTATTACATATTGTGTGTTCTATACAGATCGTCCACTCCTTTTGTGTTCCCTATATTAATTTATCTAAATTACATTTTTCTCTGGTACATATCGCATTATGTCCCAGGTGTTTATTAGAGATGTACATGAGGTTAAATATACTGTTGTTTTGAAGGATCTTTTCTAGTGTGACCAATATGAAGTTAAATCTCAAAACTAGGCTTGTTGAAATGAATTAAGAACTATCATTTGATTATGAAATTTGGCTATTTATAGAAAAATTTGTATATTTCTTATGCATTCTCATTTTTTATTCTGGTTGTCTCTGAAACCAAAAGAAACTTCCATTGAAAATCCTGTTCTTCAGCAGCTGCATTGTTTTCTCTCCTGAACTGATGTAATTGAGTTAATCACCCAGCTCTATAAATTTTTTTTTTTACAGTTTCCTTGAATTTCAATAACATTTTTGCAGTGATATATTTAACCAAAAACTTGTTTGTACTAAAATTTCTGTTTTTGCTTTGTTGTCACTTGTTCAGTTCTTATAGAAACTTTCATTCAACTGCACCCATAACCTCTCTCACTACTCTAGGATCAGGAGCAACTAAGTTGGCTGTAATTAAAGCCAGGGAAAAGGTTTTGCAGTACAGACAACAAAACTATCGTCTCCTCCCCTGTAATCCAGCTATAGGTATGTTTGGGTTTTAGTCTCAATAGGACACAAAGAAAACTAGGTCCGAGGTTATAGATTTAACACAAGTATTTTAAAGAAGAATTTCAAGATTAATATTAATTGGGAACTTTAAATGTAATGAAGAAAACAAGTAACTCATTCCTTTGTAAATAAACAAATATTTATACTGTATATGTATACTACAGTGGAATTATGTATCTTGTATTGTTAGATATTCTTTCATCTCTTAAATCCAAAAATTAACTTGTACCAATAGAGTGGAACATATCATTACCCAATGAATAGTTTTACTGGAGTTTACTTACTGATTCTAAGTTTTTTTTACAAGTTAAGCTTTTATAGTAAGGAAGAATATTTTTTAAAACAGGTACGACTTTTCGATCATTCTCAAGTACATGGGTTTTAGTAGTGAAGAAGGTTTTTGTATTTAAATCAACATTCAACAATATAACAATGTTTTTACATCAGAGAATTGAAAGTGGTAATTATGCATGTGCATATCAATATTCATGAATTGACAGATTAGTTATTTATAGCTGAACAGAGAAAAGCAAAGACATTAGATGAATTTGAGTCTGTGAAATATGTTGTATGAAAGACTAGGATAAGCTTAGGTATGTCTGGGGAAATAACGATCAAAACATAGAGTTTTGTTTGGGTATTTTTCAATTGTGCGATTGCTTGATTTTATTAACCCATTCACTGTGGCTGGGACGTATGATTCCCAGTGCACTGGGAAATTCAATTAAATTTTATTAAATTCATTAATAGTTTGTGTAACTACTGTAAAAGGGAATTGGTGTATGTTAGTAAAGCATACAGTTAAGTATGTAGCTTCTTCATCAATATTTTCTATGGTGCATATAGTTTATGTTAAGTTCAGGAGACTTTTAAGAATCCTTAATTTCTGGTGGATTACATGATTAAAAAACCAGTTTATGTAATTTCCACTATTTGTATTTTTTTATAGATTTTAGTGGCAAAGCTAAGGAGCATTTTTATGTGATATTAACATTTAAGAAATTCGTTTTGTAGTTATTTTCATTTGTAACTGTAAATTGTATGTCTTTATGTATGTTGTGAATAAAGGAATTTTGATAAGGAAAATTGCAAAAATGTCATCTACATATCTAAGTGCAAATGAAGGTTTATATAATGAAGTGACTTTGGCATTTTGTTTTAAGTGATGTAAGAAAAAGAGTGGTTAACTCTTTCAGCACAGGTTCGGTACCTGGGACCGACCTTGTAACCATTTTGTGCTTGTTATAGTTTTCATGCTATAACTTTTAAAATAGTAAGCATATGTTAGTGACATTTGGCAGATTATCAGTAAACATTACAATGCTTTCATACACAAAATATCAAAGTTTTTTATTAAGTCTTACGGCTTGTAAAGCAATGTTTTTCTCGTGCCTTTTTTTTTTTGCATGTTGCTTATCCAACATGAAAAGTAATTTTCATTTTAAGATTAAAAATACTTTTGTGAATCAGAAAATTTTCAAAATAAATTAAATGTTTATAATGTCCAGATATTTATCAAACGTTTCTTAAGACAAAATCATATTTTATGTGTTATTTTCATTAACGAATCTCTGTCCAGGTTTGGTCGATTTGACTAATCTCGTAACCATGTTAAAAAAATTAGGAATTAAATATAAATTATGCCTTTTCCATTCTAGAATGACTACAGATTATATCGCAAACATAAATGTTTTGACTAAATAGGTTAAATCTCATAACATTATACATTTATATATATATATTTATTTATTATACTGACCTTTCAGCCATGCCTGGCTAACAATAGAGAAGTTACAGTGATGTGGTGCACATACACACTAGTGTTACTGTATCTAATAATATAAAATTGACCATTAGTCTTTACAAAGTGACTGTCTTGGCTGTGCTTTAGTAGACTAGTATTTTGTAAAATAGTTATATTTTAATTATTATACATTATATATCCATATAGATTATTGCTATTTAGAAATAAGTTTTAACTTATTTTTATTAAAACTTAGAACAGTAAATAAAGAAGTAAAGTGAATAGTTATCTCTTCCAGTTACGACCTTTGTACTTGGTTGTTGCTTTACGTAGGTTGCCAAGCCTTTTCATTTTTTCTTTAGGTTTTATATATACAGTTGAATAACCAAAAAATCACCAATAATTATATCAATACCATAGAGTTCCACTATAATTTATCAAGCTTAGTAATTAAGCTGTATTTCAGTCTAAAAAATATGAAATTTTGAGCAGACTAAAGACACAACTTACTTCCTTGAAATCTTGGTTCGAAAGAAAGAAATGGCAACCAAACACGTTAAAATGGCTGAGAAAGCCACTAGGGGGACATTCTGAGCTTCTGATTGGTTATTTATGTTATATATAGAAATAAGTGTATACAAGAGAGCATTTCCAAAAATTGAAAGAGGTGGGCAGGGTGTCACTGTGTTTGATTTATTACATGAGCAATATCTTAGCAAATTAAAAAGATAAGAGGCTCTTATTTTACATTCTAGGTTGTCAATATTGGTAATTTGGGTTCCTAATTCATATGAAACTACAGACTTAGTATTTTGACATCACAAACATCTAATTTGAACTAGTGCTGCATTCAACACACCACGTGACACACAAAAATCAATGTTTAACTGTGTTTTTTTTAATATTTACTTTTAAATTAAGAAGTTGAGTAAGGTATAATACTAAAATTTAAATTAATCTACAGTTTGATACCAAACTTATTGACATAAATTCATGAAATAGATGTTCAATAAAATTTTGAATGCTAGTCAACAAATGCGATGACATGGCCTTTCATTCGTGACCCAT